AAATCATACAATAGAATTTCAAGCATACTTATCAATACAAAAATAAACACTGAAAAACATAATATAATTGACTAAAGTTGAGAGTTGGAAAAGAAGAAGAGGAGCGAAGAGAAAGAGGGAATACACCAATTTAATCGTTATCTATACTGTACTAGGGAACTAATGGATACGGTCTGAAGAAATAGAACACTAAGGTAATGGCTATGAAGATAACTACTGAAACAAAATTAAAAACCTCCCAAAAAACAAAAAACCAAAAAAAAAAAAAACAAAGCAAAAAAAAAAAAAAAGGGAAAAAACTTTTTCAAAAAAAATAAAAAAAAAAAAAAAAAAAGAAAAAAAAAGAAACCAAACGGCAAAAAAAGGAAAAGAACCAAAAGCAAAAATTTTTTTTTTAAGACTTTCCAACTGGATCATAAAGTGAAGCCAATTCTATCTTGTATATAAGAAATATATCTAAACCAAAATGATTATCATAAAAACAAAGATAAAAGGATGGGCAAAAATAAATACCAATCATATTAAACATATGGAAAGATTCTCAGCCTCACTCTGACAAGAGAAATTCAAGTTAAAGTGACATTAAAATGCCATTTCTCACTTACAGTGACAAACATTCAAAGTTTTACAATACACAGTACTTGGCAAGGCTGCTCTGGGCAAACAGCTGGTCTCATACTTTGCTGGTGGGAGTGTAGACTGATACACCGTTCTGAAGGAAAGTAAGGCAATGTCTATCGAAATTACAAACGCACGTACCCTTTGGCCCAGCAATTCCACTTGCAGGATTTTATCTTTGAAATATACTCATACAGTGTAAAATGATTTTAGTACAAGGTTATTCTTTAGTTTGTTATTATAAAAATATCAGAAATAATTTAAATGCCCATTATTGGGAAATGGTTAAAGTATGATACATAAAATACACCTCCCATTCATGCATAATGTTATGTACTTGTAAAAATTATGAAGAAGCCCTTTGTGTGTTGTCATGAAAAATTCTTCAAGTTATATTAAGTGAAAAAAAGATGTTGAAAAATAATTCTGCATGTTATGATACCATTTGTATAAAAATAGAAAAAAACACAAATTTCTATTTGTTGTAATGTACAGAAAATATTTTCAGAAGAATACACAAGAAAGCCTATTAGCTATGTTAAATAATTCTTTTTTTTTGATTTTAAACTTTTTTAAGACAAATATGTAAAGAACTGAGAAAACAAGACACATTGGAAATATGAACTCTTCTTTCATTGCATGGTAAGAAATGAGAAGCAAAGCTTAGTGTGAAATTCTGGAGCCTAAAATTAAAATGTAAACAGAATGCTCAGTGACCTTTTCTTAGGAGGCTCACATGGAGGAATGTCATGGCACATTGACCAAACTTTTATCCATTTGCATTTTCGGGATGTTGCTATTAATACCACATGACACTCAATAAATTACACCACAATATGACATTTTGTACCGATCACTTTACCTCTAGTTTCTTCTTCAGCTATGTTACTTCAGCCTCTGGTTACATACAAAAAAAAAGTTTCATTATTCTTAAACATCTATGAACATGATTGCTTAATAATTAGAAAGGCTGGCTGCCAAGCATTTTTCACAGGAAGCAAGGCACTGACCTTCTGGCTCGTGCAAAGGTCAATGTTTTTTTCAAAAAATCTTTTTTATCTTGTTTTAATTGAAGAAACATCTCTAAAAATATCATTTGAGTGACTGCAAGATAAAAAGAAAATAGTGCGTTCAGGGCACAAAGCTAAGCAAATACAAGAATATAGATGATTTGGGGGTGGTACAGTATAGAGTTCAGAACTGATCGAAGTTATCAGCTCCATATTTCAGAAGCACGTGAGACCTGGTGTCCTCCCTCTGGTTGTACTGTTCTGCCGGAAGTTTAACGTCGGCAGAGACCACTTTCAATGTTACAATGTACTGATGCAGGGTTCCCAATCAGGAGACTTGATCCTCGATAGATCCCCAAAGGTCAACTGCCACCCAGTGTCCCCTTCTTGATCATCCTCTATGCTTCCTGGATAGGGGCACAGCTAAAACCTCAAAGCATTAGCTGGCAATATCCGACATTGTCACAAAGCTTTGAAGAAAAACAGAGAGTGACTGGTATTTATTAAGGACCTAGGTGCTAGATATTCTCCTGAACATTACCCCATAAAACAAACACCCACCGCCAAATCCAAAGAGATCTTTATAAACTGATAAAGAAAACTAGGGCTTAGAGAGGTTATAAAATTTGTCTAAGGTCAAGCCAAATGCTGATAAGCAAATTAGGTAAAATTTGAGTTGGGTTAGATGAGTCTGAATCTGTTTTACAATATCATGCTGTTTGTTGATCATAAAAAACTTCATTTTTATAGGAGCACAAATGGTCCATTTATGCTGTTTCTCTCAGTATCTAGTAAAACATCTCAACTTTTATCATTATACCAACTTCAGGAGTCCGGATAATGTTTAGATCTTCTCATTCATTTGAGAATAAATGGAGTTATTTATTCTCAACTGCTGGTAATGAACTTTCTTAACTCAGCATTTTGAAGGGGGAAAAAAAAACCCCTCTAAATACTTGAATTGCTTCATTTCATGCTCATTTTCTTGGCATGCATCTTTTTGGTTTTCTTTAAAAATAGATTTCAAAATCATGACATATTCAGATATGAAAAACAGGATGGAGAGCAATGGGAACACTAATCTGAAATAGTTACATGGCTAGTACCTGTGTCTGGACCAATCCCAAATTAAATAGAAAACTCCTGAATTTGTGAAGCAATCTCTCATGTATGCTCGACTGAAAAAACAAACAAAATACTGCCCTAGGATTGGACTTGGGTTCTATCTTACTCTCCCACAATTGCCACTCTGGTTAAGTCTCAATGATTCTGTTCCCTCATTATTTAAAATAAGAGTAGATCTTAAATTTCTTTAAAAATTCCACGATTCTATCGTCAACTGCAACTCACCGGCCTTTCTAAGGAATAAACAATTTAAAATAATTCCAGTCCCACTACCATCATCCCTTTTTTAATTCGTTTGACAAACACAAAAGACTTACCCGTCTTCTACTTAAATTTACTTTTTAGTGTGACAGAAAATCAAGCAGCAAAGAAAAAAGTATGATCACCCAGCTAGACAAGAGTGATGTATAGTGTTTGGAAAACAGTTAATGAGAAAGCAGCTTAACAGCTTGCTTATTTTGGTTGCAGGTATCATAATTCATTATCCCCTAAGGGCAGAGAGAAAAATCAATCTTTTCCAGGAAAGAAGGTAATACAGTAAAGCTTCTTTCCTTTGCTTAGCCTGATACCATATATTCACAAATGAAAATAATTCTGTGAGTGCTATTCCCCATGTAGATGCCCACAGCACCTGCTTTCAAAATCTTTTACCAGAGACATTATGTAACAGACTATCTGGCTTGATCCTTACTCTGCTAACAAACAGACCTGGGTTTCCTAGCATTGTTTCCGACATTTCACTCCCCTCGTCGTCGTGTCACTTTCATTTCCCCCTCCTCCCCTGACGTTCACACAAGTGTTCTGATGCAGTAAGACAAGGAAGATGAGAGTCTGTACCACATCTACCACAGCCTGATAGTTGAGCAAACACCAGTCACTCAAAAATATAGATGACATGACTTCCTGGCTTCAATTTCCTTATGAATTAATCATTCCTTCAAAATGTCAGGACCATGAAGATTTCAGTGATAGCGTGCAGTCCTTGCTTATTTCTTCAAGGATTTCTTGGATGTGGTCAAGCCCACAGGTAGATGCATTAGAGGGGATACTTTGGGGCAATGCTCCCCCTTAGCCACTCTAACGGATGATCAAAATGGGGGAGGGAGAATTAGTGGGCAATTTTTCCCTCCCCTCACACACACATACCCATCTCTTTTTTTCAGCTCTGGGCACCATGCCCAGGGACCTTATAAACACAGGTCCCTTGTCAGAAAACATTAGTCACACTCAGTGTTAATTCTACCATTATAGCCTCATCCATGTGAGGACAACACAGTAATCTCAGTGCAGTGATCCTCAAACTACAAAAGCATATGAATCACCTGGGGACTTGGTTGCAATGCAGATTTAAGATTTAATACGTCTGGAGTAGAGCTCAAACCTCCGTACTTCTAACAAACTTCAATACGACATTGATGTTGCTGGCTCACCAACCACACTTGAGTAGCAAGGTCCTAGGACCTCTGTCCTCTCGTATTTGGAGCACATTTCCCCTGAAGGTCTCCTTGTGATTGGTTATCTACCGAGAAAACTAAACAGGGCAGAAAATTCAGAACCTCTGCAGTGGGAAGATTTTACCCCATACACAGGAGTTAAGTTTGCTGACTCTTATTGCCCAGCTGGATCCTGCTTCCTGCCCAGATCAATTTGTCAAATTCTTCCTATTTAGCTGAATGACAAATCCTGGCTCAGCCTCACCAGCCTTGTCTGATGCCACTCTGCCAACAACTGAAACACTACTGGTGTGGAGAACCTGTTAAAATACAGATTCCAGGGCCTTAACCCCAAGATTCTCATTCATTAGATCTGAGGTGGGCCCTACATATAAACAGACACCCTAGGTGATTTTAATACATTCTGAGATTTTGGAAAAGGAAATGCATGTAACCTTTTCGACAAATTGGAGAAACCTAGATCTTACGGCTGTTAATGTCTTTAAATCAAGGAAGACGCAAATAAAAATAAGAAAAAAGGAAACAGAACTTGAGCATCTGACAGTATGATAGAAGAAATAATTTCCTCCCCAATTTGGACACTTGCTTAAGGGCATTTATGGTTAATTCCAGTGTATTCTGTCCTCTTCTTTAGAGAAACTCACTAAAAATGTGAAGTATGTGTTGTGTATTCTACAGAAAATTATGTTAATGTAGGCAACATTACAGATACATGCACTGGGTGATCAAATATCAGAGGAATGGTTATTTGTCCTTCAGACTAAACAAAGGAAATTGGAGTTGTTCATAAACATACAACTATTTTTAATATATCCAAGACACTGAAATCAGTTAATAAAAATAAGGACTGAACATTAATTAGTGCCATTAAAATGGCAGAAGTAACTATAAAATACAAAACATAAGTTTACTTAGATTTTATGAATGCCATGTCCTCCGTAAGAGGACTACAGTTTGACTACTTGGTCTCCGCTGGGGCAGATGTGGCATCCTGAGGTGTGTTAGCCTCTGCTGGTGCAGTTACAGGTCCTGCCACAGTGGTGGTGATCTCGGGTAGAGCAGGGGTGGTGTCTGGATTGGAACTGGCTCCTGTCTCACTGGTGGTGGTCTCAGTATGACTGGGGGTGGTGTCAGACCCAAAGTCTGGGGTTTCTTCACTGGAGCTGGAGCTGGCATCTGTTGGACTGGGTATGATGTCAGCTTGAGCAGTCGTGGCCTCTTCTTCTGTTTCCAATTCTGTTTCTTGATTTGGAACTTCTTCACCTTCTTCTACCATAGCAGGTGGTAGTTGTAATAAAGTCTAATAAAAAAAAGAGATAACACCAATATGAACTCAAATGAAAAACACTGTGGCTTATAAAGCTAAGCTCTCACATTAACATCATCTTCTTAAAAGATACTATTCACTCTAGAGTGCTCCAAAACACTGCTGGCCGTTTTACAGATATAACACCTCTGATGACAACAGCCTAGGTTCTGCTGACACCTACATAGATGTCACATATTAATAATCAAGAATCTGCTGCGACACTTCTGTGAAAAGAAGTGGCTGAGTAGGACTGATTGCAGTAACAACGCAGAAAGGGCCAACTTCAGTCAAGGAGCCCTGGGACGGGTAGAGAGGAAGTAAGCCTGAGGCAAGGCCATGGCAGGAAGGGAGCAGCAGGGCACAGGCTTCTGTCCCATTCAACCAGAAAACTGGAGCAACTCTGTGTGCTTAGCCTTCCCTCTCTACTCCATGGCAGTCTAGGGGCTTTTCTCCTCAGGGACTCTGTTTATCTTGCTGGAAATTAAAATAATTTTTAAAGTACCATTCACAATAGCAGCAAAAAATATAAAATACTTAGCAAAAATGCTAACAGAATATGTGTAAGGTTTGTATGCTGAAAACTACAAAATACTGATGAGAGACTTCAATGAAGATCTAAATAAATGGAGAGATATATTCGTAAAAGGGAAGATAATGTTGTTAAGATGTTAATCTTCCCAAATGGATTCTAAATAATCCTACTCCTCAAAACATCCTTTTAAAAATTGCAGCATGCTTTCTGGGGTAGAAACTGACCAGCTGATTCTGAAATGTCTATAGAAAAGCAAAGGAACTAGAATAGCTAAAACAATTTTGAAAAAGAAGAACAAAGCTAAAGGACTTACATTATCTAACTTCAAGATTTACTATAAAGCTACTATAATCAAGGAGTTGTGATAATGGCAAAGGGACAGATACACAGAAAATGGAACAGAATAGAGAGCCCAGAAATAGCCTCATATATGTGGTCAACTGATTTCTTGACTCAGATGACAAGCAATCCAACAGAGAAAGAACAGTCTACTCAGGAAATGGTGCTGAAGCAACTGGATATCCACATGCAAATAAATAAAACTCGCCTCTTGTACCATATGAAAAAACGAACTCAAAAATGTATCATACCTCTAAATATCAAACCTAAAACTATATAATTTCTAGGAAAAAAAATCTTTGTAACTGAGTTAGGTTAGGTATTTTTAGGACACAAAATGTATAAATCACAAAAGAACAATTTGATACATTGAACTTCAACAAAATTTAAAACTTCTGCTCTTTGAAAGACACTTAAAAAATGGGGGGAAAAAGTCACAGACTAAAAGAAAATATTTATAAAACACACACCTGATAAAGGACTTGTAGTGAGAATAAATAAAAACCTCTTAAAACACAGTAAAACATATAACTCAGTAAAAAAACGAACAAGAGACCTGGGCAGACACATCCCCCAAAATGATATGCAGATGGCAAATAACCACATGAAAAGATGTTCATTATTAGACATTTGGGAAATGAAAATGAAAACTACATTGAAACCACTATATGCCTATTACAACAGCCAAAATATGGGCTGGGAATGGTGGCTCATGCCTGTAATCCTCACTCTGGGAGACCGAGGCAGGAGGATCACTTGAGTCAGGAGTTCGAGACCAGCCTGAGCAAGAGCGAGACCCCGTCTCTACCAAAAATGGAAAGAAATTAGCCGGACAACTAAAAATATATAGAAAAAATTAGTCGGGCATGGTGGCACGTGCCCGTAGTCCCAGCTACCTGGGAGGCTGAGGCAGGAGGATTTCTTGAGCCCAGGAGTTTGACGTTGCTGTGAGCTAGGCTGACGCCACGGCACTCTACTGAGGGCAACGGAGTAAGACTCTGTCTCAAAAAACAACAACAAAAAGGCACAGCCAAAACGAAAAAAGGACCTACTACATCAAGTGTGCGTGATGATGTGGACCAACTAGGACTCTCATGCTGCTGAAGTGGAACAATCACTTTGAAAAACAGGTTGGTAGTTTCTTAAAAAGTTAAATATATCTTTAACATATTATCCTGCTTTTCCACTCCTAGGTGTTTACCCAAGAGAAAATGTAAACACTTGTACGAGAATGCTCACAGCAGCTTTATTTGTAATAGTCAAAACTGAAAACAACCCAAATGTCCCTCAACATGTGAATGGCTGAACCATGGTAGATCCACACAATGGACTACTTACTCAGCAATAAAAAAGAAAGAACACAACAAAATGAATGAATCTCGAATTAATTATGCTGAGTAATAGCCTGAAAAAAAACCACAACATATTGTATGATGTCACTTATATAAATGGAGACCAATCTACAGTGACAGAAAGCAGATCCCTGGTTGCCTGGGGAAGGTGAAAAGGGACCTAATGAAAGGCAAGGAGGGATTACCAAGGGGCATGAGAAAAACTCTCTGGGATAATGGATATGTTGTTTATCTTGACTCTGGTGATAGCTTCCCAGGTGTATACCTTTGTCAGAACATATCAAATCGTATACTTTAAACATGTATATTGGTGTTAAATTCTATTTGTGTGAAGATGCTTAAAAAATATGAATGTTGCATAAATAATAACCACCTACTTTAGTTAAATTGGTTTCCCATAAGGAATTAGGTACTTTAAAGATTTATTCTACAAAAGAGATTATGTCAATAGCAAGGAAAATAACAGCCAATTTTAAGAAAACTCACCTGATGATAATGATGTGTCGTCTGTATTAAATGCATATACATGTTGTATACAAAGTTTGCCATCTGGGGCATATTCTTTATTATCTGTACTTCATGAGATGGTCTCTCTCCATTCTAAATGAAGGCAAAAAGAAAGTTAAGTATCTAATGAAAAAATCCTAGAAGCTAACATTTCAATATAAGCCCATTAGATGCAAGTGTAAGAGTCCAATAAGGACTTCATGAAGAGTAGCAAGTCTGTTTAAATTGAGAAAGCTAGAGTCTAGGACAACTAAGAGTCACAAGTTTTTAATACAATTTTGGGCTAGTAAGTAAAATATGGGTTTTTGTCTACTAACTAATGCA